ACTCTCCGTCTTCTTTTCATTTTTTCTATAATATGAAAAAAAGACGAGGAGACAGAAATACGGAGGGGGCCCATTCCACATAAACAACAAGATAAATATGTCACTCGTAGAAAGAAAGATATCGTGTCTTACAACTCAAGAGCGAACGAAAGATTTGTTGGGGGTTTTTAATATGTGCTTCATGCAGCTCCTTCCTTTCTCCCGGCCTGTCAAGTCGAAGCCTTTAGGAAACCAGAAGCGCGATCTTCAAATCCTATTTTTAAATGTTCAAACAACACAGTAACATGACTGGTCAGTACAATGTCTTTTAATAATCAAACAACTCTTACTTTAAGAACTATAATATTATGTTATCTGTTCAACTATTATCCAAAAACTGTCATCGAAATATATTATCGTCGACAAGGTCTTTAAAATATTCCGAGAGAGAGAAAAAAACTATTTCATTCTTTAAATAACCAATCTTTTCTTTGCTTTTTCTCTGTTAAACATTTAAGATTTGATTTCGACAACTGATTTCTTGAGCACATTGCAACCGATATTGCAGATAAACAAACTGTAGAGAAACGCAATCAACACGAACATAAACAACATTGACAAACAATACAACACCAGTCAGACTTTGGGTCAACACACATTGAATTTCTTGAAATAACCAAAGATTTATAAAAACAAAGCCACCAGTTAGACATTAAATCAAGACCACATAGAATTTCTTGAACTAGCCAAAGATTTATACAAAACCACCAGTTATTAGACGTTGAATCAAGACCACAAATAATTTCTTGAACTGGCGAAAGATTTAGAGAACAAAACCACCAGTTTGGGCAGAGTTACACCCCTTGCTACACCTCACACCTTCCGCTTCCCGTCCACGGAGATCTCAGAGAGGGTGACGTGGTTCTCGTGACCTTCTGACCCCGGCGAAAGCTTCTGGTACTTGCTCACTTGACCTTTGCCCCCGCGCCTCTGCTTAACGAGGACGACGATGAGCGCCAAGGACAGGACAACGATTAGCACCACCAGCACCACGATATTCAACAACAGCATCGTGTTGTCCTCAGCCCCCTTAACTCCGCCCCCCTCCTTCTTGTGGGCGGGGCTTGCCCCCTCTTGGACGTACACAAACTCCACCTCCTTCTTCTGCGAGTCGTGACGTCTAGGGGGCGGGGCCCAGAACCTCCCCTGAGCCAATTGGGGGCGCTGACTTTTGTTTTTGGCCATAGCTTCTCCGTTCTTGAGCCACAGATTCTGCGATGGGTCAAACGCGAACACGTTCTGGGTGGCGGGGGTTCCAGTCGGGGCATGAAGGAACGGCGGCCGTTTGAGAGCTGGAAGCTTCAGGTTGGACAGAGCGCCGGCCTGTGACCATCAGAAAAATGGCGGGAAATTAATCAAACTGTGGGTTTTACTGATGAAAATGTTGTAAAAGATGGGTTTGAGTACCAGAATTGTTTATGAAGTACAGCGCTGCTCTTTCCCTATATATGTCTGTATGTATGTTTGTCTGTCACTCTCTTATCTCTCTTTGTCTCTCTCTGTCTCTCTCTCTCTCTCTTTCTCTCTTTCTCTCTCTCTCTCTCTCTCTCTCTATCTCTCTTCTCTCTCTCTCTCTTCTCAATCTCTGTCTCTCTCTTTGTCTCTCTCTATGTCTCTCTCACGCACACACACACACACACGCGCACACACACACACACACACACACACACACACACACACACACACACTATCTATCTATCTATTTTCCCTCTGAAACATAAAACATATTTCGTTACCGCCCTCTAACTAGCGTCTCATTCATCTGGGGGGGTTTCTGTCTATCACTTGTTGGTAATCTACATCTTTTCTTTTCCTCTGTCTTTTTTCTGTCTGTCTGTCAGTCTGTCTGGCTATCTGTCTGTCTTTCAGTCTTTCTGTGTGTCTCAGTCTTTTCACTGAAATGATGTATCGTTTTCAGCGCGCAGACTCGGAAGCCCGCCTCCTAAATCATCTAAATCGTGTCGATGAGGATGTAAAAAAAACAACATTATAAAAAAACCAAAAAATATTTGTGAGGCAGCATGGTGGAATCAGGCTGTCGTCAAAATAATCAAAGTGAAGAAACTTGCATTTTTCCGCAGGTTTGTGAAATTTAACAAATATTTTGTTTTTTGGCTCAGCACCTTTCATGCCCATTAAAGAACTGATTTCTGAGTGGATTTTTCTGAAAAACGTTGATTAAAGGCACAAAAAACAAAAATTTTCAGTTACCACGGACTCTTAAGCTCTGGAAATTACTAATCTTTTGGAGGCCATTTTCCCATTAATTTTATCTCTGAAAACAGGTGACCCCCACCTCCTTCTTTTGCAAATATCTCGACTTGTATTCAAGATAAAAGGATGTTTTTTTTCATCTAAATAAAGACAAGTGGACAAGGTTTAAGATGATACCAATAACTTTACATGCCCAAAAATTTACGAGAGCCTGATTCCACCACGCTACCTCACATTTAAATAGTTGCAGCTGACCTCCTTGACCCTTGAACCCGCGTGACTTTTGACCTACCTGGACGCAGTGGTTGACCTCACAGCCGTCCCCAGGCATGATCTCCGTGGTGAACTGACTGTAGCCCTTGGGGCAGCGTCTGGGCCAGGACTCCGGGCCCTCGGAGTACATGTGGGCGGTCAGGCTGCTGTTGACGCTACCCAGAGCCAGAGGGTTGCCTGGGAGGGGATTGGGTGGGGGAGGTGAATTTTAAGAAATATTGTTATATGTATACATAATAATAATATATTATAGATGTATAACTATTTGTACATGTATATTATTTGTAATGTTTTCGTCCCTGTCGTAAGCAATGAACTTTAAGTCCAAATTTTAAAAAAAAATTTAATATTTTTACACCGTCCCAAAGCTCTATCAAACATGCACACCTTTCAATATCTCCACAATGCAATACACTTAAATCAAAATTTTGAGATTTAAGAAAATGTGAGGCAGCATGGTGGAATCAGGCTCTCGTCAAAATAATCAAAGTGAAGAAACTTGCTTTTTTCTGTTGGTTTGTGCATTTTTATCAATTTTTTGTTTTTCGGCTCAACACCTTTCATGCCCATTAAAGAACACATTTCTGTGTGGGTTTTTATTCTGAAAAACGTTGATTAAAGGCAAAAAAAATGTAAATTTTCAGTTACCATGGACACTTAAACTAAGGAATTAACTAATCTTTGGCTGC